GACATTTTTCACATTTCATTCGAGATGTTTACGCAAACACTAGCTATCCTTCAAACCAACCACTTCACCTTTACCTCATTGTACCGAGTTTCTTGTAAGAATTAAACTCGTGGCACATCCCCGACCATTCCCAACCTTACCGATCGAACAGTCTTATTTTCCTTAATTATATTTGCTTCTTCCTTCTTTAGCGTTATAGATAATCGTAGGGTTTACCTATATGCTTTTTTCTGGGTTAGCGCAGTGGATTGGGGCGCAATCCGAGCATCTGTAACCCACAAGATCGGGTCCAATGCGACTGTTGGAATCTCTAACACGGTATCACCAAGTGTTCACTAGATCATTGGTTCAAAGATCAATTAAAACTTTAGTAGTTCTTTTCAATGTTGCAAAAAAGATCGATTACCGCGATTCAGATAATCAAAACCAATCAATAATTATCCTCACCATGGCCGCTAAGTCAAGAATTAGCTGCAGTAGCCAACTCTAAACATAGTGGGATTCCCACAAAATAGTGGTCACGAATTTTCTAAATCAGCATGTAAAGCAATCAAAATAATACGACGCACACTTAATAAGGCATAAGAGTAAAATGAAACATCAAAACAATATATGAAATAATTGAACGGGATGCGCCATGCATTTGAACACTATCGAAAAGTGTAAAATAATTATGTTCGTACGATTAAATAAATGTTATCAATTTTCCAGGTTTCCGGGTCAATCTATCTTCTCGTGGAGTTTATGCTGCTCTGCAATAAGAGCGTAAAATATTCTGACATGCCTCGTCTCACATTATATCGGGCTGTAATCTGCGGTTTGGTTTGCTTCTTGGTGATCTTCATGTTCCTACGAGGACTGCTCCGTTCACCCGCAGTTCCCAGTCGGGTCCTACACGCGTTCACTGAATGGCAACTTTGTATGACAGCCCGATTCGACACTGAAAAACGCGATCCGAAAAAGGTGCCGCTTGTCATATAGACACTCTGCTCTGTCACATGCCTCCCATGCTTTGCAGTTCTGGGAGAAATTTGCTGAAATGACCAAATATTGTACATCGAACACGGATGTGTCCAGGATCAAGCTGATTGAACTCCCTAACGACGATGAAGTGAAGCATTACATCCTGAGTCCAGATGTGAGTTTTCTCCGACAGTCCTCATTTACCACTTCACCCTAGCTACTCCATTTCTTCCAGAGTAAAGACCCAAGTGTCGTCGTTTCACTGGGAATCGGTGCCGATATCAAAGTAGAACAGCAGCTAAAGAAGTTGCTCCCTGAGGTAAGACCACGAATACTCAGGCACCCTCCCTGTCAGACCGAAGTCATTGCCTTCTTCCAGGGATCGGAATTTTACGGTGCCGATCCCGTTACAGTACCCAATGCTGATCTGTTTGGTCGGATCGGAAGATTCTTCCCAATTGCTGTCAGTGACCATTCGGGCCATTCGGAATCCCACATAAGGTTGGATAACGGTAAGAAATATATGAAAGTTCGTTTGTTACTTACAGCTTCACTGACAGAATGAAATTATCCATCTCGACGCGAGCGATTGCATCACGTCGCGTCGCCAGCAGCCACAGTATCCCGGATTTCCAATAATTGTTTAGGTAAATACAAAACTATGCCAGTGGTACATCTTGACATCGGCACCTTCTTCACAAAAATGATCAATCGAACCCATATCGATCACATGATTCTCGATAACGAAGGCCCAGAGTATCAGCTGATGCCGATGATAGCTATCGAGAACGTATTTGCAAAGCAGAACATCGACATATGCCATATGAACGTTGAGGTGGGTGTAGCTAGAAAAGCTGGAAAAACCTTTTTGTCGACATCAAAGGTCAGTATTACCGCAGACCGATATTTGTAAAATATTTCCCAAGTAGGAATCGAAATTGTCAGGCTACATTCATCATAACCATTACTCGCCCTCGCCACCACCACACTTATCCAGAAATCGAAAAGCATCCTCGACCCTCAGGACTGAAGTGTGCGAGCTGTTAATGAGAGTAATCTTCTCGAGATAAGCTCCCCATTCCACTTGCACTTGAGTTGATGTGGAGCCATTAAGGTAACCCAAGACGTTAGCCGATGTTCATGGTTACATCGATGTTTCGGTTTTTTTAGGAGCTGATACTGTCCGAGTCAATAATTAAAAACTTTCATGACTCCACAATAACTTGGCCATTGAAAGCCTGAATCCTCAACAGTGAAAGGTAGCTCATCCTCTTTCCTGTAGGATTGTGCGGGAGGTTTAGTGGCAGTTGGTGCACTATAACTCGCTAGTCTGGAAACCAATCCAGAATAAATAGCCACATACGTCTTCCAAACCTTCCATTTCTCCGAGGTCGGTTAGTCGGACTCAATGGGGGAAAAGGGGNCTTTCAGTACCACACTTACGCATTCGAATCGGCCCTGCATTACGAATGGAAGTAGAGTCGCAAAAAAGCAGAATTGGTTTGAGCCGGAAGACTTTTGAGATTTTTCTTCAAAGATTCTCTCAAAGCCTGTGTTGCATGTATACCATGAAAAATCGGTTTGGAATGTAAGTCATAGCGTTGCACTGGCAGTAACTATTGGGGTCGCAGGGCATCAGCATAACTGCCAAGAGGCTGCTTTCGCTGTTTTTCATGTGTAAGTGTAATCCCGTAAAATTGATGGTGTACGTTACTATCTATTCCTATTCCTGGCGTATTCCTGCCATGTGCTTGGCAGGAATTTCCCATGGCAAATAGATGGTTTCTGGATGAGGTGTACGTATGCTGTTCTTCTTTGGGTAGTACCTTAATCCATATTATAGTTCCATGCTCCCGGACCATCAACTCGATACAGCGACTTCATTGAAGTCATGCATGGAATACTTCAAGCGGGTCGATTCGCTCCGATTTTGAACGAAAACTGGGGCCATCAACGCATGTTCCTCGTCAACTACAAGGATCCGTATTGTGTTGACAAATACCTCTTGCAATTTTTCTAAATGCCAAAATATGGACTTTCTGGTGGGCTTCGACAAGGTCTGGTCCACCCCTTTCCTTTTTTCAATCGATTCGAGACCGAAATGACTAGAGCACAGCCAGAAGCTCTCCACATTGTCATATCATAAGGTCTCGATGTATATGTATTAACTATTGTGATAGGAATCGATTACTGTGATCATCGAATGTCTTTCCTTGGAGGCCTTAACTCTTGAATTTCTTGTTTTAACAAATTCATAACATGTGCATTTCATAAATTTTGAATAATTATTGTTATTTATAGTTGCGATTTCGATAAATAATTATGTGCCAATTACCCCACGTCATTTACAATAGCAATAGACAAGGGACCCAGTCATCACTGTGGTTGAGGGGTCTGGCAAACGAAATCCCTGCTTCGCTTTTGTCGGGCTTGTGTTAATGCGGGTTGACAATAAGATCCGAAATTTTAATGGGTGATCCCGGTAGTTACAGTGGAACGAGGGCTGCAAGCGTGCTTGGGACAGGGGAGATTCGCTAACCCTGGTTCCCACATAAAATACACCTGTTAAGCCATTTTCTGGCCATTATCATCTAATTTCTTCTGTAGCTTCGACGTCAGAAAGATCCCTCTGCTTTATACGCACTAAAAGTCGCTGAGTCAAAATGAAGTCTATTCCCACTAGAGATACTTTGTTGATTGAAATGTCTTATTTTGTACCGTTTGAAGAGGCACCCAGTCATTATCCCCAATCATCTGCGCTCTAGCTCTCCGAGTTAGTTGCGGAGCAGTCACTTAAGTCGAGTATAAAGCCATTTTCAAAGTTTCAAATATCATACAAAAACCGGTTTATGACTAAGGTTATGACAAATGAATCTAATGGGATACGCCATGGTTTTCAATTCCATTAACAATCATGTGTCACACACACCTACTAACGATTCCTCGTGCCAAGGCTCAAATATGGAGGAAGAAACCGTTTTTTGCTTGTGACTTCAAAACAGACCTAAGCTTGCAGGTCAACCTGAGCCATCAAACAAAAGAACTGTTCATGCTGAGACTACCCGGGACTGAATATGAATTTTTTAATTATTTTTTTAACTTCTTGTTTATTTCACAGCTTTCTTATTATCTCTCTCTACTAATTACGTATTAACCTACTTTCTGACCAAGGGCCCAACGTCTGTCAATAGGATCTGCTGTGATCATTCATCAAAATTGCGAATTTTACCTTCTCTGCTACAGTTTCTTGATTGCAGCACTCAAACAGTTCAATGCTATTAAGCTGTTCGCTATTGACCAACCGCCTAGAGAGGAGGATTAAAGACTCATAACTCTCATGGATAGCCCATTCAGAACAGCTATGGTTAGCACAACTAGCAAAGCCGCCCACGTCAGATCATGTCTTCCGAGTGACACGGCCAACTTATTAGAACATCTTACATGGGGAAATAACAATGTGCGCAATTAAACTTTGCTCTTGCTTTTCCTGATGGCCTATACTGAAGAAAGACTTAAATTAGCAAATTTAACCACTTCAGCTCGGTCATGGCAACTACACTCATCACGGATGTGCCACAACAAAGAGAGACGACAGCTAAACTGTCGTTTGTCCTTACAAGCTAGAGCACACCATCATGACTTCAGTAGAATGCCGGAATCGAAAACTTGGAAATTAGCTTGTCGTGCCAAAGGGCGAGAAGAGTGAAAATCAGTAGCGCTTCTGTCTTCGCAGATAAAGCAAGGACCATTTGAAAGGATGAACCGAAACTACCATTCCTAACTAGGGGTGAACGCGTAAAAAAAAGACAAAGCTGAGAAAATAAGAAGCGGAAATAGAATGCTACTGAATATCCTGACAGAAATGAGTCATTCATTCATAAGAAATATTTCTGAACGTAGCTTAATTAACTCTGATAACGAGAAGAAGATGATGGTGACAACTCTCGAGAGAAAGGATTCAAAAAAAAGTGGAGGACCTACGCATTCCGACATCTGTACGGCCAAGTGCCCAATAATAAGAAAATTTTAGTGTAACATCGAAATAAACACAGGAATCACTTGT